GTTGCGTTTATAATTTTGTTCAGTATATATATATATATATATATTACTTTTTCTTTATTTCTTTCTCTGGTCGCTGGTGGTGTTTCCGCTGCGGGTCTCTGATCTCCTCAGGCTCTCTGTCCTCGATCGTCCGGATACAGAATGACTGATGCTGATCGTCTGAAAGCATCTTCACTCGTCTCTCCAGACGCTTGACGTTTTCACTGCATCTCTGAAGCTCAGATCATGTTTGTGATGAATTCACACTGCTGGATGTTTCCGTTCTTCGGGGATTTCTCAGTCGTGCTCAGATCCGTTATATGACGTCAAACGCAGGCATTGACAGAGATCTTGTCCGATCGCTCGCTCACAGCGGTGTGATGTGAAAACCTCACAGGAGGCGAAGAGAGGAGCATTTATGATTTTATTACTCAGGATCAGAAAGTCAAACACATTCACAGAGGTCGAGGTGTGTGACGGACCCAGTGTGTGTGTGTGTGTGCTCTTCATCTCCTCACCAATCCATCCTCATCATCATCATCAGAGGCAGCATTAAAACCGACAGAATCAAACACCATCAGTCTCACAAACCACTTTCCTTTCCTTTTGGTCCGTCTTTCATCATCAGCTGCTTTATGAATATTTCCCATCATCATCATCATTTTATTCATTCTGCTCATCTCTCGTCTCTGAAACCCTCCAAAGGTCATTTCTGCCTGTGTGATGTTTCCATTGAGATGATGATGATGATGATGATGATGATGATGATGAAGATGGTGTGTGAATGAGAGAGAAACTGCTGATAAACAGTAAATCTCACTCTCGGTAACACAAACTGAGTTTAGACTTTAGTTGTGATTTGATATTATATTAGATGATACAAAACCAAATTATATGACGTAGTTATATCAAACAATACGATGAGATACATACAGAAGTGTTTTTCCTTTTTCTATTTTAAATAATTAATTTTCCTTTTTCTTTCGTTCTTTCTTTTTTAGTTTGGTAATTAATTGATTGAGTATTTATTTATTTATTTATTTACTTTTTCTATTTTGATTAATGTATTTGCTTTCTTTCTTTTTCTATTTTTATTTATTTCTCTTTCTATTTTTATTAATTCATTTTTCTTACATTTTCTATTTTATTTATTTACCTTTATTTCATATTTTTATATATATATATATATTAGTTTATTTGTTTTGTTTTTTTTTCATTATATTTTTAGTTTTAATTAAGGTTTTTTTTTTTGTTCTTTATTTTTCTATTTTCTATTAATTATTTATTTATTTTTCTTTCTTCCTTCTTTTTCGTGTTTTTCTCTATTTTTCCATTTTTATTTATTTATCATTAACGTATTACAATGGCCAATTGCACAATAATATGAAACAATACAATAAGATGCAGCTCATATCATTGAGTCAGATGGTGTTTAGTCCAGCTGTGGTTTCAGAGCTAATCTGACGTGTTACCGGTCCGGAGGTCTGCCGGCGTTTCTGCGTGTGTTTGAGCATCGCTGATCCGACGCTGATAGTTCTGGTGTGTTTCTCGGTCTCCGCAGGTCGGCAGCTGACGATCTTCAACAGCCAGGCGTTCATTAAGGTGGGCGGCGGTGAGAAGGGCCGTAACTTCCAGGGTCAGATCTCGGGTCTGTACTATAACGGCCTGCAGGTGCTGAAGCTGGCGGCGGAGGGCGACCCGAACGTGCAGGTGCAGGGGAACCTGCGTCTGGTGGGAGACGTGCCCTCCGTCATGAGCACCGACACC